AATGTAAAGAGTAGGAAGGAAGTGGAGGAAATAATAATGAACTTCCAAGAAGAGTTAATTAGGGTGTGTAACCTTACGATCCCTATGAAGAAGAGATGTAAAAGAATGGTCCCATGGTGGACGCAGCAATTAAATGAAATGAGAAAAATGAATAATAGGCTAAGGCGGAGAGCACAAAGAGCAAGAAACGAACAGGAAAGGATAAGAAAAAGAGTTGAATATTTGGATCATTGCAGGGCTTATAAACAAGAAATTAAGGAAAGTAAATTAAAGTCCTGGAGGGATTTTTGTAGCCAATGTTCCTCAACGCCATGGAGCTATGTTTATAAGATGTGTGCAGGCAAATTAAAGAGACCGCAGTTTTATACAACGATTAGTGATAGAGATATCACTACAGACAGCTATGAAGGGACAATTGGTGCTTTTATTGAAGGGTTTTTCCCTATGGATGATCCAGGTACTGATACAGATATGCAACGCCAAGTTAGAATGGAAATTAATAGACCTTATACAGGTGTTCAAGACCCTGATTTTACAATTGAAGAAGTAGGGTACGCTATTGAGAGACTGAGGCCTGGCAAGGCGCCGGGACATGATGGTGTGGTTGCGGACATCGTCCAAAAGATTTGGAGTATTAATAAGTGTTTTATGACGGATCTTTACGACCTGTGTTTGAGATTTGGAGTTTTTCCGGAAGTTTGGAAACAAGCAAGTCTTGTGGTGATTCCAAAAGGAGAGTATGTGGAGAGAGGACTTATTAAAAGTTTTCGTCCAATTAGTTTGTTGCCGTTTAATAACGGCAACAAACTAATTGGACGAAAGGTGTTGGACTATTTGGTCAGTCAAAGGATTTTACAAAGATTGGTAAAGAGTAATTATTTAAGTCCCAAGCAATTCGGATTTATGCCGGATAGAGCCACTGAGGACGTGATCTGTAAGGTGGTAGAAGCTATAAACGATATATTAAAGAATAATAAGTATTGTTGTGGATTGAGTCTAGATATTCAGGGAGCGTTTGATCACGCGTGGTGGCCTATGATTTTGCAAACTCTGAGGAAGGCTGAGTGCCCGACAAATGTGTATGAACTTGTTAAAGATTATCTCAGGGAGAGAAAGGTGATTCATGTAGCCGGAGGAACTATTATACAAAAGGCCCTAACAAGAGTGTGTCCGCAGGGGTCTAACCCTGTTTTGGAATGTGTTGTATGACAATTTTTTGAAGGTAGAAAAGGGAGAGGGTGTCTTAGAGTTCGCTTATGCGGACGACACCATCATTCTCTTCGGTGCCAATTCGAGAAGGGAAATTGAGAATAGGGGAACTGGACTTTTAACAACAGTGGTGGATATAGGGATGGAGCTGAAGCTCCAGTTTAATCCCAGTAAAACAAAGGCAATTATTTTTGCACAAGGTAACACACCGGATCTTATGAAACGAACACCAGTTATAAAAATGGGTAATCGAAGTATAAAGTTGGAAAGTGAGATTATGTATCTTGGAGTGGTTCTTGACAATCGAATGACCTGGCTGCCACATGTTTTGGCAATCAGAACTAAGTGTACAAATCTATTTAATGCGTTGGCCAGAGTGGCCAGAAGGAATTGGAGGCTGAATGAAGAAGCTGTGATAACAATTTATGAAGGAGCGTTTGTACCGAAAATGACTTATGCAGCTGCGGCATGGAGTTATGCAGCAAAGAAAGGTTGCATTATTAAACATTTGAGATGTGCCCAACGAATGGCCTTGCTACGTGTCACTAAAGCATTTAGAACAGCCTCTACTGAGGCGCTAATGGTGGTTTCTGGTATTCCGCCGATAGATCTGGTATTAAAAGAAAGGACAAGAACTTTTTACTATAGAAAGGGCCTTCAGGCACATATGGAAGATGGAGATACAACATATCAAATATGTGAACTTAGACCGATGAGTCTGGAGCTTCCAATGACTTATGAAAGGAAGAGTGTTGACATTGCAAAAGAAGAAGAAGAAGGAGAGTATAATATTTTTACTGATGGTTCGAAACTCGAAGGAAGGGTGGGGTCATCCTTTGTGGTTTATGAGAATGAGACTGAGATATGTCATGAAAAATATAGATTAAGGGACTGTTGCTCAGTTCATCAGGCAGAGATGTTTGCTATTATGAAAGCAGTTGAGTGGGTAGCCCTGACTCGAAGTACAAACAATATTGTGATTCATACTGATAGCAGAAGTGCTATTCAGACATTAATGCAGTTCAGAGATATAAGTCCTATGGCGTTGGAGGCGAAGAAGTTAGTAAGGAGATATAATTTGAACATGAAATTTAAATGGGTGAAGGCCCACGTTGGGATAATAGGAAACGAGAGGGCAGATGCCCTTGCAAAAGAGGCTACTGAGATGAATATAATATCATATGATAAAGCTCCAATTACATATATTAAAAGGCAGTTAAGACAAGAAACGGTAACAGAGTGGCAAGATCAATGGACCTACTCAGAAAAGGGTAGGTTCACGTTTTGGCTGCTACCAAGTATACAGGAAAGGCTCTCAGAACTTGCATGGCTACCGAAAAAATATTTGATTACACAAATTTTGACAAATCATTGTAGTACAAAGCATTACCTTAAAAGAATAGGTAAAACGAATGACTCTATGTGTGAGTGTGGTGGAGGAGAACAAACGCTAGAACACTTGATTAACGAATGTCTTAAGTATGAACAGGAACAAATGCAGCTTCGGCTGTTTTCTGCCGATATTTATGGCATGCCAACTTTAGATTTATATCAGTTAATCAGGAATTCAACATTATTGCAGGAGATTAAGTCTCTCCTGCGAAAAGTTTTGTATTAGCTGGAGACGAGTTGATCCCAGCTGCGACTAGGGTCGCGTTATAGGGCAAAAAAGCTACTATGATCTGTATATATTGTTATTATTTATTTTTGTTGTTAGTTAAATAGTTTATGTTAAAAGTAATAAGGTTTAAAGTTAACGTTTCCCCTGTGGTGCTAGATGCGGGGCAGGGGTGCTTTCTGATCCCCGCGAGGGGAAGTGATGAATATTAATGAAAAAAAAATAAAATAATGTCCCTATCTACTTAGAGTGGACTTGTCCAGCAAGCTTGTGAGAGTGATCAAATCGAGCTCCTCAATATTCGATGTTTTCCATGGGATAATTTGTTCGCAGAAGGATTATTTGTGTGAATTCAAATTCTACTGAGTGCCCTGGATCCGGTGATACCAAATTTGGCCCAGTGGATTAAAAATTTTTGGCAAGGCAGAGGTGTTTAATATCCAGGATTACGGATCGATTTTCTGGACTATACGGGATCGTTTTTCCGAAAGTTATGACGGATCAAGGAACACCATCAATGTGTGAGTAACACCCTAAAATTTTATCCATTTCGGCCCAGCCGTTTTCGTGATAATTGACTTTCGTGTTTCAACTTCTCAGGCCCGCATCGGGCTTCCGGTTTGCCATCTTTTAAAAATTTATGTTTTATCGGATTACAGACTGTCTTATCTTCCTTTGGTGTGATTTTTATGTTTATATCTATTTTAGTTTTTAAGATATTGTAATATTAATTTTCATCATTGCTTCTCACTGGACGACTTGGGTCAATGACCTGTGTTGTAACGGCTTCCAACGGACTTTATAACGGCTCGTTCGAACAACAGACAGTTTGACGCCGATTGTTTACGGAAATCATCTTCACTTCCTGCTTTTGAATTCGTGTATTTATTAACGTGTATTTTTAAAGCTTGAATTTAAGCTATTTGTTATTTTATTTTATTTATCTTTTACTTTATTTTTTGTGTTTGACCAGGGGTTTTGGCTACGAGTTTTTTGTTTATTACCTCTGGAATATTGGTTATTATATAATATCATTTTCATGTATTTATATTACTTATAACTTGATTANTCCCTTCGGGGCGTTCGGTCGAGCCCGGACCAGCGTCGGGGCCTTCCCGTGGAATGCCCCAGCTACGCGGCGCGTCTGTCCTGACGACGGATGCGACCGTTTCGGCAGGCAACTAACAGCCGACTCAGAACTGGCACGGACCGGGGGAATCCGACTGTCTAATTAAAACAAAGCATTGCGATGGCCGAAGGCCGGTGTTGACGCAATGTGATTTCTGCCCAGTGCTCTGAATGTCAAAGTGAAGAAATTCAACCAAGCGCGGGTAAACGGCGGGAGTAACTATGACTCTCTTAAGGTAGCCAAATGCCTCGTCATCTAATTAGTGACGCGCATGAATGGATTAACGAGATTCCCACTGTCCCTATCTACTCTCCTCTAAATGGGGGTCCATTGCTTGTGCCCAAACCAGGCAATGGCCCCAACTCGTACGTACCAGCCTTGTCGTGGCAGAGGGGCTCAGTACCCAGGGGACATGCTGTAATGGTATGTGTCCTGGGGAAGCCAATGGTACGGCGGGGGATTCAGGTGTAGGTGTATTTTCTGAAGCTATGTCAGGTGCTCGATCGCTATTTCTCGGGGAGAGTGGATTGAAGGCAATCCCCGAGGGTACCGGGATGGGGGTGGTACACCTGGGGCGCCCCATAGTGAGGGGCCCGGCATGTCTTAGCCAGTCGGTGCTGGCAGCCCCGATCAGGGAGTGGATAATCTTGCCTCCTGCCAGGGGTGGATAATCTTGCCTCCTTGCCACCCCCTGCCAGAGTGCAGGGTGGGGGAGGGCCTCCCCCGAGGCCACGGGGGTTGCCTTTGGTCCTACTCATAGGCTCTGGGGAGTGGTTGGGTGCTTGGCATGGTGGAGGGGCTATGCCTTGTTGTGTGTCTCATCAGTACACGTCCTCCGATCATGCGCTGATTAGCTTTGAGGTTTCATTGGGAGGGGTCTCATTGACCACATCAGAGATGATTTATTGCAATTCTGATATTAATTGGGCTCGGTTTAGTGGGATTTTAAAATCTCAGTTACAGGTANGGTGGGGGAGGGCCTCCCCCGAGGCCACGGGGGTTGCCTTTGGTCCTACTCATAGGCTCTGGGGAGTGGTTGGGTGCTTGGCATGGTGGAGGGGCTATGCCTGCACCTGGGTCTGGGGGGTGGGGTATTCTCTTTAAAAATAATTATGGAAGGAAAACCTAAACAAAAGCGTTTACAAGTACCGGGGGTTGGGGGGGACAATCCTGGGTCCCATATTCCTAGAAGAGTAAGTAAAAGTTTAAGTGAAATAGGTGGGGAGCTGGATGTAGATCGGATTGAGGAGGTGGATTCTATGGATTGTTTAGAACAATTAGAAAGAGTGCAGTTGCAGTTATATAAGGTATGTATGGATAAAGGTAATAGATTAACTATAGCTGTTACTGAAAAGCTGCAGGAATTATTTGGTGATGTTTCTAATATAGTTAAATCTTTAGTAATAGAAAATGAAAGATTGAGAGGAAAATTGGAGTTTATTCAGGAGAAAAATATCCAGGTTAAAGCGAGTGAAATTGTAACATATGCAGATAAGATTAAAGGTTTGTCTAATGAGTTAGATAAAAATAAAAAACCTGTAGTTGTAATAGTAAAGGGTAAGGAGGAAGATAGTAGTGATGAGGTTAAGTGAAAATTTTTAACTGGAATTAATCCAAGTATAGATAAAATTAGAATGATAGGTGTACGTAAGTTAAGAACTAATGGGATATTGGTTACATTAGCAAGTCAACAAGATAGAGAGAAAGTGTTGAAACATAAGGTATTGGAAAAAGCAGAGATAGTTATGCAAGTTCCTGAAAAGCGGTATCCTCGGATGTTGTTAGTAGACGTTCCTAAAGAAATAGATGAAGATAGATTAGTTCAAATAATATATGATTTAAATGCAGATATGTTATGTGATAAGGATATGAATTATGAAGTATTCAAATCTAGCTTTAAATTGTTATATCGAATTGGTAGACATCGAGATTATTTGACAAATTGGATTGTTGAGGTATCCCCGATATTAAGGAATAAAATAAATTCTATAGGAAGGTTATTTATAGAATATCGATGTTGTGTGATTCGTGATCATTATGAGATAGCTAAATGTTATAAATGCCAATTATTTGGTCATTTGGCTAGAAACTGTAGGAGTGAAGTAGATGTATGGTATAAATGTGGACAAAAAGGACATAAGTCTAGGGAGTGTGTTAATGCTAGTGTTAAGATATGCATTCCGTGTAGACAAATGAATAGAACATATAATCATATCTCCAGGGGGAAAGATTGTCATTCTTATCAGGTTGCCATATCCAGATACAAAGAACAGGTAGATTATGGATAATATAGTAAAAGATAATAATAGTTTAGGAATAATTCAAGTGAATACGCAAAGGAAGAAATCAATACCTGGTGAATTGCTTCAATTGGTTGATAAAGGTAGGGTTAATATGTTATTAGTACAGGAACCGTATGTTTATAAAGATAGGGTAGTTGGATATGGTACACATACACGCGTAGTTCAGTGTACAGTTGGTACCCCTTGGGCTGCGATCGTAGTTCCTGATAGTACATGGACAGTATTAAGTTTACATAATTTATCATCCACTACTTGCGCTGCAGCACAAGTTTTAAGAGAGGATGATGTATTTTATTTAGCTAGTTTATATTTTCCCCATGGTGGGGACATAGAGCAATCAATAAATGAGTTAGATAAAATTTTATCTTTATATCACGGAAAAAATTATATAGTAGCGATAGATTCAAATGCAAAGTCTACACTTTGGGGTTCTTCATTTACAGATGATAGAGGTTGGCAATTAATGGATATTATATCGAAATGGGATTGTGTTATTGTGAATAGAGATAATATAGTCCCTACTTTTTCATCTGTCTTGGGAGAGTCATTTGTAGATATTATGTTAACATCTAGTTATATAGATAGGAGGATATTTGATCGTTTGGTTACTTATGAGTATACCACGTGTGATCATGCTATTATTGGGTGTAATATAGCATTGATGTCTAGGTATATTGAGACCAAATACCGGATATATAGGGATAATAGTAAAATTAATTGGAATAAATTTCGAGGTATTTTATCTAGAATAATAGGGTCTTATGGTACGTCATGGGTTGATGATAAGATCGATGTGTTTAAGTATTGTACTCATATACATAGGTGCTTAGATTATGCAATTAGGAAAGTTTTTCCAGTACAAAGAGATAGGATATTAGTACCCAAATGGTGGAATGATAAATTAGATGTAATGAAGAAAAAAGTTTGTAAAGCTCGTAGGCTTTATCAACAAGAAAGAGAATTAATATTGAAGGATATCAAATTACAAGAATATAGAAACTTAAGTAAACAATATAAGAAATTAATAATTACAGCAAAGGTTGTGAGTTGGAAGAATTATGTGACTATAATGTCTGCTAGAAATCTGTGGGGAATGCCTTATAAATTAGTACGGGATAAAATTAAAGTTAAGGATATGTTAGGTGCTATTCGTAAGAAAGATTCAAATGATTATATCATTGATGGGGAAGATTCAGTAAATTATTTATTAGATTCTTTATTTGTAGAAGATCTTAATGATACGAATAATCAGCTTAATATTAGAATAGCTAATAATTTATATAGTAATCATAAAACAGTTGAATTGTTTTCTTATGGGGAATTTCTGCAGGTATTGAGAGAGTCTAGGGGTAAGAAAGCGCCTGGACTAGATAAGGTTACTTATAAAATTTTAAATCATGCTGTTTCGATTATAGGTAATCATTTATTACAGTTGTATAATTTGTGTTTAATATTTAGGGTTTTTCCTAATAGATGGAAAACATCTCAGGTTATTATATTTTTGAAAGATAAAGGAAGGGATCGTTCAGATATAAGATCTTATAGACCCATATGTTTGCTATCCATAA